CAGGCTGGTCTTGAACTCCTGACCTCAGGTGATCTGCCCACCTCGACCTCCCAGAGTGCTGGGATTTACATGTGTGAGCCACCGTGCCCAGCCTAGTTTATTAAGAATTAAAGTTCTTGCAATGAAAGACTTGCATTCCAGCCTGGGCAACAGAGCAAGACTCTATTTCAAAAAAAAAAAAAAAAAAGAGAATGAAAGTTAGCCGAGCACAATGGCTGATGCATATTGTCCCAGCAAGTTTGAGGTGGGATGATCACTTCATACCAGCCTAAAAGAACTTGTCTTTTTAAAAAAAAAAAAAAAAAAAAAGGAATGAAAATTGCAAGCCAATAAATGGCTTTACTAATCTGCCTCCTCATTTTTTATTAGGCTTGAAGGTGTTAATGAAGTAGCACCTGTGAGTAGCCCTCTTGTCTGCCACTATCCTGTTTCCTTGTCCTATACACTTGTCTATTAATAAGGTTAATGTAATTTGATCCTATTAATATTTATTTTATATTTTCCTGCAGGAAGTTGGAAATCTGTATGACATGTTCCACACTCGCAACTGTTTACACCGTAGAGCTTATCAACACAAAGTTGGCAACATCATTGATACAATGTAAGAAACTTGATGGTCATTTCCCTATAAAATATTCCATGATACTTTGCTAGAGTATCATACTAGGCTCAACTTGACATTTCTAGATAAGTTTAAGTGCATATTAAGTGGTTAAATCTAAAATGGTTTCCCTAAAGAAAAACTCTAGAATAAAGTTAATTTAGTTGGAGGAAAAGGAGGGAAATGAATAAAGGGGCAGATGAAGAAGAGCTGGCTTCGGCCAGGGATGAAGCGGCTGTGCTGGGATCACTCAGGACCTCTGAACAGGTAGTCACTTACATACCAGATATAAGTCATCAGGAGAATGAGAGGTAGGGCATGAATATTTGAATTCTGAGATTAATTACAAAAATAAACTTTAAGGATTAAGATTAACGTCTAATTCTTTCCAGTCAAATATTCATCAAAAATAGTACCAAATGGTAAAACCAACAGGAATTTTACCTCTTCCTGACCCAGTCAGAACCGTAGCAGAAAACTGTGTAGCCAGGTCTCTTCATGACTCAAAGACTCCATGAGGAGTTATCAAACACTGGGTGTGAGTCAAGTTACGTCTTCCATGACTCTAAAATTAAGCCTTAAATTGATTAACCTTTATTTCGTTTTTCCATTTGTGTTGAGGAAATTTATCTTCATTCCTATTTTTCACCTGTCCTTTGTCATGAGCAGATTACTTGGAATACATTCTCCTATTTGTATGTTAATACTTTGGTAAGAGTTGTTGTTGTTGTTGTTGTTGAATTCAGAGAGATCTAAGCTCAAAGCCTGGCACTGTTTCTTCCTAAGTTGGTTAAATGAAAATTCACTTCATTTCTGTATCTATAAAATTGGGGCTGGGCCGGGTGCAGTGGCTCACGCCTGTAATCCCAGCACTTTGGGAGGCCAAGGCGGCTGGATCACCTGAGGTCAGGAGTTTGAGACCAGCCTGGCCAACATGGTGAAACCCCATCTCTAAAAAAATACATATATATTGGGACTGAATATCCCTACCTTATTGTTGGGAAGATTAAAGAAGATGATGCATGTAAAGCCCTGCCGCAGTGCCTGGAACACAGTAAGCATGGTAGCTCACAGGCCACCATGCACATGGTTAGTATGGTTGAGAAGCAATTGTCTTTAGAACCATTGTGCCTCATTATTTTATTTCCCAAAAGTAGAAAGATTTCCTTAAGCAAGACATAAGGCAAATATTCAAAATTTCTCATAAGCATCAATTTTTGCAAAATAATTTTTAGGATTACAGATGCGTTCCTCAAAGCAGACCCCTACATAGAGATTACAGGTACTGAAGGAAAGAAGTATAGCATTTCTACAGCAATTGATGACATGGAAGCCTACACTAAGCTTACAGGTAAGAAGTAACAGGTAACATAGACGGTCCACCTCAGATAAACTATGTCTCTGAATTGCCAATAGGTTATTTTTCTTTATTTTATTTTTCATTTTTAAAAATAATTATTTAATTTTACAAAAATAAAGAAGGGGTCTCACTATATTGCTCAGGCTGCTCTCAAACTCCTGGGCTCAAGTGATCTTCCTGCCTTGACCTCCCAAAGTGCTGGGATTACAGGTGTGAGCCACTGCACCCAGCCGATGGAAGTATTTTAGCTTCCCAAGGAATTATCTCCTTTTGAATTTGAGTTTTATTTCTGTCTTGTACTGATAAAGTGAACTTGACTGAGTGATTTAACCTACCTGAACCTCTCATCTATAAAATGAGGGTAATGATACCTAGCATATAGTTTGTTGTGATGTTTAAATGAGGAATAGCACCAAGTATAGACTTGACAAATAAGTACTCAATATGCATTATTTTACTTTTATTTTTTGAGACGGAGTCTTGCTCTATCGCTCAGGCTGGAGTGCAGTGGCACACTGTTGGCTCACTACAGCCTCCACCTCTCAGGTTTCAGCGATTCTCCTGCTTCAGCCTCCTGGATAGCTGGGATTACAGGCGTAGCCCACCATGTCCCACTAATTTCTGTATTTTTAGTAGAGATGGGGTTTCACCATATTGGCCAGGCTGGTCTTGAACTCCTGACTTCAGGTGATCTGCCTGCCTTGGCCTCCCAGAGTGCTAGGATTATAGGCATGAGCCACCACGCCCGGCCCATTATTTAACTGTTTAATTTTATTTTTATTTATTTTATTTATTTTTTGGAGACAGGATCTTATTCTGTCATCCAGGCTGGAGTGCAGTTGTGCCATCACAGCTTATTGGAGCCTCAACCTCCTGAGCTCAAGTGATCCTCCTGCCTCAGCCTCAGCCAAGTAGCTGGGACTATAGGCATATACCACCACACCTGGGTAGTTTTTTAAACTCTTGTAGAGACAGGGTCCCACTATGTTGCCCAGACTTGTCATTATTTAACTCATAATATACCTGAATACTAACAAACTGACTTGGTCATTTAAGATTATTTTCATTGCAAAAACACAAGATGTGAGGAACATCAGTCCACAGTTTTGCAGAAACAAAATCTTCAGCTTAGTGTGGGAAGGAGGAAAGAGAGGTAAAGGTGCCACAGGTGGTTCTTTATTGTGGGAAAGTATTGCCTGAGATAAAGCAAAAGAAATAGAACAAAAAGTGTACAGCAGTCAGAGTTAAAAATTACGAAACCATTTACTAAAAATAAAATTGGGCCAGGTGCAGTGGCTCATGCCTGTAATCCCAGCACTTTGGGAGGCCGAAGTAAGCAGATTACCTAAGGCCAGGAATTTGAGACCAGCCTGGCCAAAATGGTAGAACACTATCTCTACTAAAAATACAAAAATTAGCCAGGTGTAGTGTCATGCACCTGTAATCCCAACTACTCAGGAAGCTGAGGCAGGAGAATTACTTGAACCCAGGAGGCAGAGGTTTCAGTGAGCCAAGATCATGCCACTGCACTCCAGCCTGGGCAACAGAGCAAAACTCTGTCTTAAAAATAAATAAATAAACAAAAAATAAAAATTAAATTGGAAAGCAATCCTATAGCTTACGGAATCAGTGGAAAGGCTGGAGGCTCTGAAAATGGAGAAAACAACAGAAGTCAAATGACTTAAGACACAACCAAATCGCTCTACCATAGCTTCCTGCCTAGAGTGCCGCTGTTCTACCACAGCTGGATTCTATTTGCTGCACACTGACAGAATGAAACCTAAACTAGCTCCTCCTAAACTGTCTTTTTAGACAGTTTCTTAAATTACCAACCCTTACAGATTGATATTTCTGTAAAGTATGATAAAAATGAATTACTAGAAAAATGAAATGGGGGGAAAAGACATGTAAAATACAAGCCCAAATTTTTATTATTCAACTTGACAGACTTCACATTACATTTCAGTAAATTTAATCAAAAGATACATAATAGGCAGACAAGGTGGCTCGTGCCTGTAATCCCAGCACTCTGAGAGACAAGGCAGACTGATTGCATGAGCCCAGGAGTTTGAGACCAGTCTGGGCAACATGGTGAAACCCTGTTTCTACAAAAAATTTAAAAATTAGCCATGGCGGTGTGTGCCTGTAGTCCCAGCTACTCAAGGTGCTGAGGCTGGGGGATCACTGCAGCCCAGGAGGTCGGGGTTACAGTGAGCCAAGATTGCACCACTGCACTCCCACCTGGGCAACAGGGTGAGACTCTGTATCAAAAATAATAATAATAGAGAACAAATTAAATTAAATTATAAAAACTATATACATTGCTCTTTTTTTTTTTTTTTTTTTTTGAGACAGAGTTTCACTCTTGTTGCCCAGGCTGGAGTGCAATGGCATGATCTCAGCTCACTGCAACCTCTGCCTCCCAGGTTCAAGCCATTCTCCTGCCTCAGCCTCTCAAGTAGCTGGGATTACAGGCATGTGCCACCATGCCCAGCTAATTTTTTATATTTTTAGTAGAGACGGGGTTTTTCTATGTTGGTCAGGCTGGTCTCGAGCTCCCGACCTCAGGTGATCCGCCCACCTCGGCCTCCCAAAGTGCTGGAATTACAGGCATGAGCCACCGTGTCCAGCTACATTGTTCTTTAAAAATATATACGTAAGGCCAGGCAGGGTGGCTCACACCTGTAATCCCAACACTTTGGGATGCTGAGAGGCAGGTGGATCACTTGAGGTCAGGAGTTCAAGACCAGCCTGACCAACATGGTGAACCCCCATCTCTACTAAAAATACAAAATATTAGTTGAGTGTAGTGGCAGGTGCCTATAGTCCCAGCAACTCAGAGGCTGAGGCACAAGAATCACCAGGAGACAGGGGTTGCAGTGAGCTGATATCAAGCCTGGATGACAGAGCAAGACATCATCTCAAAAATAAAATAAAAGAAAAAGAAATTGAACAAGCTGAGGATATTTGCTTTTAATTTTCATTCATAATAAAGCAAGTAATGCCATATTTTTAAAAGTCATCTTCATCTAGGTGTATTTACATGTACCATTAGTCCCAGCTGTTCAGGAGACTGAGACAGGAAGATTAATTTTTTCAAATTATACTTACATTTAAACTACGTTTTAGTTTAGCTGGGCATGGTGGCATGTGCCTGTAGTCCCAGCTACTCAGGAGGCTAAGGCATGAGGATTGCCTCAGCCCAGGAGGTCAAGAATGCAGTGAACCATGATCACATGCCACTTCACTCCAGCCTGACGACAGAGTGAGACCCTGTTTAAAAAATAAAATAAAATTTAGCCAGGTATGGTGGTACACGTCTGTAGTTCCAGCTACTCGGGCTGAGGCAGGAGGATTGCTTGAGCACAGGACTTTGATGTTGCAGTGAATTATGATAGTGCCATTGTACTTAAGCCTGGGCTATAGAACGTGACCTTGTCTCCTAAAAAAAAAAAAAAAAAAAAAAGAGGCCAGGCGTGGCAGCTCACACTTGTAATCCCAGTACTTTGGGAGGCCTAGGCAGGTGGATCACATGGTCAGGAGTTTGAGACCAGCCTGGCCAATATGATGAAACCACGTCTCTACTAAAAACACAAAAATTAGCCGGGTGTGGTGGTGCGTGCATGTAGTCCCAGCTACTTGGGAGGCTGAGGCAGCAGAATCGCTTGAACCCAGGAGGTAGAGGTTGCAGTGAGCCAAGATTGTGTCTCTACGCTCCAGCCTGGCAACAGAGAGACTCCATCTCAAAAAAGAAAAAATGAGCCACTGTGACTGGCCGACTGGAACAATTTTAAATGGTTTTTTCACTTAAGTCTTTTAAAACATTTTCTTATATTGCTAAAATAATAATGTACCTATGTTTGTGAACTGCCTGTTAAGAACATTTCAGTAGCATAGCACTGTATAACTCTTTAACTCTGTGTTTTCATTTTAATATAACTGAAATGTCATCAAATTGGCAGATAACATTTTTCTGGAGATTTTATACTCTACTGATCCCAAATTGAAGGCGGCACAAGAGATTTTAAAAAGTATTGAATACCGTAATTTATACAAGTATGTGGGTGAGACCCAGCCAACAGGACAAATAAAGATTAAAAGGGTGAGTTGAGTTAACAGGCATCTTTCCATTAGTGAAAGGTTATCTCTGTCCTCCAAGAGGAAACCACTAACCTATCATGATACTATGACTTTGTACTAAGTGCTTTACTTTAATTCTCATTTAATCTTCACAACAGTGTAGGGTTCTTAGGCCTGTTTTACAGATAGAGAAACTGAGACTTTGCTAAGATTAAATAATTTGCTCATGAAAACATGTTTAGCCAGGATTCAAAAGCAAGGTCTAACTTAACTCCAAATCTTTGCTCTCATTCAGGAATTGAAAGTGGGTCTCTGATTTGGGTAGATTCAAAGAAAGTGCCTACATGAGCTTCACTGAGGCTATGGTGACCTGTTTCAATGACTTGGTTCCTTCACAGGATATTAGTCTCCCAGATGGCACATACCTGTCTTCTTTAAGTCAAATATCTATTTTCACCTCCTACTTGTGAAGGATTTTCTCTTTGCCAGAAAGCCATAACACAAATCATACTGATAACCACACCCTACCTCAGTAATTTCTTGGGTTATACTTTACTTCCTCTTGTACTAATAGGTTATTGCCACATTTTTTTTAAATGTAAATTTTGTTTGTTTGGTTTTTTATTTTTTATTTATTTATTTTTTGAAATGGAGTTTCACTCTTGTTGCCCAGGCTGGAGTGCAATGGCATAATCTTGGTTCACTGCAACCTCCACCTCTTGGGTTCAAGTGATTCTCCTGCCTCAGCCTCCCGATTAGCGGAAATCACAGTCATGCGCCACCATACCTGGCTAATTTTGTATTTTTAGTAGAGATGGTGTTTCTCCATGTTGGTCGAGCTGGTCTCGAACTCTCAACCTCAGGTGATCTGCCCACCTCAGCTTCCCAAAATGCTGGGATCACATGCGTGAGCCACCATGCCTGGTGATTTTTTTTTCCCTTTTACAATTTTTCACAGAAATTGCTCTATTTGTTTAAAGGGTGGCATTGGTAGGAGTGATATTTGTTAGGGATATCTCTAATCATTTTTCTTAGGTGCCATTTTCATAAAGAAAACCTGTTCGTAGCTCAAACACTTAACGATGAAAAATGGATTCTAACATGGGAGGCTTGTGTTTTCCAGGAGAGCTATGAATGTCTTCCAAAAGAGGTTGCTGATGCTAAACCCAAAGTACCGCTAGAAGTAAAGCTGAAGGCTGAACATTTTATAGTGGATGTAAGTAATTAGTCCAGTAATAAGTGAATAATTTTTTAAAGATAAAGCACCCCACCATTATCAAAGTAGTGCATGTTCATTATAACAACTTAGAAAAATACAGAAAGATAGAAGGAAGGAAGTCATCTATGGCCTCACAAAGAGAACCAATGTTATTAACCACAAAAAAAAAAATTTATGTGATTACGTTGTCTGTATTAAAATTTCTTAATTACACAAGTAATACATTTTAATTTTTTTTATTGCCTGCATACAAACGCAAAGGAAAAAGTTGTGGGGCCAGGTGCAATGACTCACACCTGTAATCCTAGCGGTTTGGGAGGCCAAGATGGTGGATTACCTGAGTCTGGAGTTCAAGACCAGCCTGGCCAACATGGCAAAACTCCGTCTCTACTAAAAATTCAAAAAAGTAAGCCAGGTGTGGTGGCACACACCCGTAGTCCCAGCTACTCTGGAGGCTGATGTAGGAGGATCACTTGAACCCAGGAGGCAGTGGTTGCAGTGAGCCAAGATCGCGCCACTGCACTCCAGCCTGGGTGACAGCGAGCCTCTGTCTCAAAAAAAGAAAAAGTTGTGGGGTTGTTTGCTTCTTTGTTTTTGTGTATATTTTTCCTTCAATATAAGCCTTTTTTTACTCTGTTGTTGTTGAGACAGGATTGCTGTAGCCCAGGCTAGAGTGCAGTGTCAGGATCAAGGCTCACTGGAGTCTTGACCTTCTGGGCTCAAGGTGATCCTCCCACCACAGCCCTCCTGAATAGCTGGGATGACAGGCTCGCAGTAGAGAAGAGTCTCTCTATGTTGCCTGGGATGGTCTCAAACTCCTGGGCTCAAGCGATCCTCCCACTTTGGCCTCCCAAAATACTAGGATTCCAGGGACTCCCCTTTTCATAGAGACTACACTGTCTTTTCATGTTCTAATGAGAATGCCAAACAGCTTTCTCACATTTTCTTGTTTCCTATAGGAAATTCTTTTTGGAGTTCTATTCCTCTGAAATCTCAGGGCAGTGTTCCCCTTCTGTTTTTTCCCATAAACCTCTTATTTGTTATTTTGTTGCTGAAAAATTTGTAAGTGAAGGATGATCTCTTCATAACCATTCCTTGCCAAATGATACTATGAGTGAATTGCGCTCGGGTTCACTGTCTGTTAACTTGGCTGATTTTGAAGTACCTCAGATCTTCACATCAAGCTGCAGTTTCTTGTTTCACTAAATGAGGTTTCATTAGAGTAAAGAGATCTCATGTCTCAATTTCCTGAGACTCTGAGAGACTTCACTCCCCAGAATGTTTTCCCCTGGGCACTGCCATGTTTGCCCTTGTCTTCAATGCAGTGGTCAGTCCTGGTCAGTCCCTCCAGCTACCATCTGGTTTTTCTCTCAAAAGTACAATCTCCAAAAGGATGTAGGATCAGAAGTACTCAAAGAAGCTACACATAGGAAGAAATATACTTATTACTAGTAGACATGAAAAGAAGTTTAACCTTATCAATAAGACATTAAGTGAAATTGATGGAACGATGAACATTATTATTATTTTTTTACTATCAAACTTGTAAGAATGAAAGTATTATAAAATTCTGTTAATATAGTATGTGAAAATAAAAGTGTAAATTGGTACAAGGCCAAATTAGAAGTATGTTCTAAAATGTTAATTGACCCAGCAATTTTCATTCTAGGAATTTGTCCTAAGGAAATAATTAACTTTGAAAAAAAATACAAGTATTATATTATATTATTGTAGTGTAAAATTAGGAGGAAAACATATGTCTATCAGTAGGAAATACTGTGAAATAATGTAAACATTAAAGTTTTTTTTTAACATAGAAAGATTTCTGTAATGTAATAAGCGGGGGAAAAAAAAAGCAGTACAGGTTGGGCATGGTCGTGCATGCCTGTAATCCTATCTCTTGGGAGGGCAAGGCAGGAGGATCACCTGAGGCCAGGAGTTTGAGACTAGTGAGACCCTGGACCTTACCAACATTCAAAACTGCATTCCCAGGCGGGTGCCGTGCTCATGCCTGTAATCCCAGCACTTTTGGGAGGCCAAGCTGGGTGGCTTACAAGGTCAGAAGTTCAAGACCAACCTGACCAATATAGTGAAACCCCCGTCTCTACTAAAAATATAAAAAATTAGCTGGACGTGGTGGCAGGCGCCTGCAATCCCAGCTACTTGGGAGGCTGAGGCAGTAGAATTGCTTAAACCCAGGAGGCGGAGGCTGCAATGAGCCAAGATTGCACTACTGCACTCCAGCCTGGGCGACAGTGTGAGACTTTGTCTTAAAAAAAAAACTGCCCTCCCTGTAAAATAGCTAATTTAAACATATTCTTCTCTGTTCAGTAACCCCTTTCTTCCTCATCTACACTTTCTTAGCTCATTGGGACCTCTAGTTTATTGTGTCCTCAGCTTCTTGTGTCCTTGTTCTTCCAGCTTGGCAGTGGCCTTCTATCTTCATTTCTCTCCAAATGGAGACTGGGTGCAGTGGCTCAGGCCTATAATCCCAGCACTTTAAGAGGCTGAGGCAGGTGAATCACTTGAGGTCCAGAGTTCAAGACCAGCCTGGCTAACATGGTAAAACCCTATCTCTGCTAAAAATACAAAAAATTAGCCGGGTGTGGTGGTGCGCACCTGTAATCCTAGTTACTTGGGAAGCTGAGGCAGGAGAATCACCTGAACCCAGCAAGCAGAGGTTGCAGTGAGTCAAGATCACATCACTGCACTGCAGCCTGGGAGACAGAGTGAGACTCCATCTCAAAATAAAAAAGTAATTTAGATATTGTGATGTAGTAATTCACTCATTTTCTGCAGTTACTCTCAACTCCCTTTTCCTTCTTTACATCTACCTGGCAGAAGGCTGAACAACCTAAATAAGTTAAATCTACACATCTCCACACCTACACCTGGACACATAAGTGCTCCTGGATATCATCACTGTACAGGCATATCTATAAATTCCTGTCCACCAAACTAAGCTGGGCCCTCTGGCAGGCTTAGTGCGATTCTCCCAATCTCTATAATAATCATTTCAGGCCAGGCATGGTGGCTGATGCCTATAATCTCCACACTTTGGGAGGCTGAGGTGGGCAGATCACCTGAGGTCAGGAGTTTGAGACCAGCCTGGCCAACATGGCGAAACCCCATCTCTGCTAAAAATATAAAAATTAGCCAGGCATGATGGTAGATATCTGTAATCCCAGCTACTCCTGAGGCTGAGGCAGGAGAATCTCTAGAACCTGGGAGGCAGACGTTGCAGTGAGCCAAGATCATGCCACTGCACTACAGCCTGGGCAACAGAGCAAGACCCTATCTCAAAAAATAATACTAATAATAATCATTGTCGTCATTTCAGACTATCCTCCCTCCTCTCAGAACTCCAGCCATGCTTCCTACCTCCAACTGTATTCATCCTCATGAATAACCCAACCTTTGGCTCTTATTTCCAAGATAAACTATAGGCCATTAGATAGCAACTCCTTAGACCTTTCTCATCAAAGAAACAAGCCTGCCTCCATCGACAACTGTATTCAGTATTCCCATTTGCATAGTGGGGAAACATCTTTGTTCTTGTCAAAGGCTTAGGGTAATTCTACTTGTGTTCTAGAGAGGTGTTGTCCAATAGAACTTTCTGCAGTGACAGAGATATTCTTGGTCAGTGTTGTCCCTTTCTGTGGCCACTAACTGCATGCAGCTGCTGAGCACTTGAAATGTGGTTGCTGTTAGTGAGTAACTAAATTTTATTGTATTTACTGTTAATTATTTTTTAGAGACAGGGTCTCACCCTGTTGCCTAGGCTGAAGTACAGAGATGCAATCATTATAACCTTGAACTCCTGGGCTCAAGTTATCCTCCCATCTCAGCCTTCTGAGTAGCTAGGACTACAGACACGTGCCACCATGCCCCGCTGATTTTTTAATTTTTTGTATAGACAGCGTCTCACTATGTTGTCCAGGCTGGTCTCAAACTCCTGGCCTCAAGCAGTCTTCCTGCCTTAGCCTCCCAAAATGCTGGAATTACAGGCATGAGCCACTGCACCCAGCTAATGTTAGTTTAAGCTTTGGTTTGAGACAGGGTCTCTGACTGTGTCCCAGGCTGAAGTACAGTGGCATGATCATGGCTTGCTGCAGCCTCGACTTCCTGGTCTCAAGCAGTCATCCTGCCTCAACTTCCCAAGTAGATGGGACCATAGTCACATGCCACCACACTTGGTTAATTTTTGTTTTTAACATTTTGTTTGTTTGATTGCTTGGTCTTTTTTTATTTGTTTTTGTTTTGTTTTGTTTTTTGAGACATAGTCTAGCCCTATTGCCAGGCTGGAGTGCAGTGGCTCAGTCTCAGCTCACTGCAACCTCTACCTCCTGGGTTCAAGTGATTCTCCCACCTCGGCCTCCCAAGTAGCTGGGACTACAGGTACCCGCCACCACGCTTCACTAATTTTTTGTATTTTTGTAGAGCCTGGCTTTCTTCACGTTGGCCAGGATGGTCTTGATCTCCTGACCTCCTGATCCACCTGCCTCAGACTCCCAAAGTGCTGGGATTACAGGTGTGAGCCACCATGCCTGGCCTATTACATAGTTTTAAATAGCTTAAAGGATATTGAATGTTCCCAACACAGAGAAATGATAAATGTTTGAGATGATGGATGTGCTAATTACTCTGATCTGATCACCATACATTTATGTATATCAACACGTCACTATGTACCCCATAAAGATGGACAATGATCATTTGTCAATTTAAAAAATATATAAAATAGGCTGGTCCGAAGGTAGTGAGTTATCTCAATTGATTATTCACAGTTATAGATTGAACTCCTTGTTCTATTCTTTCCCCCCTTCTCACTACTGCACTTGACTAGTCTAAAAAAATTAAAATAAATTAAAAAATAAATCATATATATGTGTGTGTGTGTATGTGTGTGTGTGTGTGTGTGTGTGTGTGTGTGTGTGTTGATGTAAGTAAAATAAAAACATTAAGGAAAAAAGGCAGCAAGAAACAAGTACCTGGAGAGGAATTTGGTACCTTAGAAAGGTAAGAGAAGATGAGTCTGACCCTGAAAAAGAGGAGAGGGGTGAAGAGGAGTGTGGTGTTCATGATTTTATTGAGACAAGGTCTCACTCTGTCGCCCAGGCTGGAGTGCAGTGCTGTGATCTCAGCTCACTGCAACCTCCACCTCCTGGGCTCAAGTGATCGTCCCACCTCAGCCTCCAAAGTAGCTGGGAATACAGGCGTGCACCATCACGCCTGGATAATTTTTGTTTTTTGGTAGAGATGGTGTTTCGCATGCTGCCCTGGCTAGTATCAAACTCTTGGGCTCAAGGGATCTGCCTTCCACAGCCTCCCAGAGTGCTGAAATTACAGGTGTGAGCTTCAGTGTCTGACCTGTGATTTTCTTAAGATGAAAGTCTATTTAACTGTTGCTGGGAAAGTCAAAAAGAAGAAGGAGATAACTAATACTGCAAGCTTCCATAGAAGTGATGAACATAGAATGTGATATGCAGCTGCACTCTGTCTCAAAAAAAAATTTTTTTAACTGTAATAGATGACTATTAACTGGGCCAGTCACGATGACTCATGCCTGTAATCCCAGCACTTTGGGAGGCAGAAGCAGGCAGATCACTTGGAGGCCAGGAGTTTGAGACCAGCCTAGCCAACATGGTGAAACCCCATCTCTACTGAAAATACAAAAACTAGCCAGGTGTGGTGGTGCCTGTAATCCCAGCTACTTAGGAGGCTGAGGCAGGAAAATCACTTGAACCAGGGAGGTGGAGGTTGTAGTGAGCTGAGATTGCACTGGACTCCAGCCTGGGTGACAGAGCAAGGCTCTCTGTCTCAAAAAAAAAAAAAAAAAAAAAGATTACTGTTAAATGTAGTCATCCTACAGTGCTATAGAACCCTACAGCTAACTTCTCTTATGTTGCTGTAATTTTGTTTTCTTTAACATCTTGCTTCCTCTTAACAGCCAAACTTTTAAGAGTTGCCTTCTCTTAAATTTGTATTTCTCATTTTCTCCTGAACCTTGTTTCTGTTGCCATCACTATACTCTCTCCAGGATCACCAGTGACTTCAGTGTTGCTAAACCCAGGAGACAATTTCAGTCCTCTCTGCCTCTGAGCTGTTTCTTCTGTCTGCAATTCTTTTTCTTCGCACCTAAGCCTGTTTCTCTTCTTTCTTGCTCACTTAGTAACGTCACTTTCCCAGGAAACCATTTCCAGTCATTCTCCTGGCACCTTAGGTTACATCAGGTACCCTATTAGAACATTTCAAAACACCCTGTGCTTTTCCTTAGTAACTCTTATAACAAATGTGGTTAAATACTTTTATAATTATTTGTTGAACTTTAATCTGGGGCTGAATGGTTTGTGGGGACTGGGATTTTATTTGCTTATTTACTTTTAGAGGCAGAGTCTCAATCTGTTGCCCAGGCTGGAGTGCATTGGCGTGATCTCAGCTCACTGTAACCTCCACCTCCCAGGTTCAAGCAATTCTTGTGCCTCAGCTTCCCGAGTAACTGGAGTTATAGGCACCCACCATCACGCCTGACTAATTTTTGTGTTTTTAGCAGAGATAGGTTTTGACTATGTTGGTCAGGCTGGTCTCGAACTCCTGACCTCATGACCCACCTGCCTCGGTCTCCAAAAGTGTTGGGATTACAGGCATAAGCCACCTCACTCAGCCTCTGTTCAGTTTCTTGTGATGCCCCTTCAGCCCTGAGTTCAGTTCTCCTGGTTGTTACATGATTACTTATTTATTACTTTTATTTAGGTTATCAACATGGATTATGGAATGCAAGACAAGAATCCAATTGATCATGTTCGATTCTATTGTAAGAGTGACCCCAGCAAAGCAATAATGATTACCAAAAACCAGGTAACTACTTAGGCAGAACAAATATACTACAGTGGCATATAGCAAATCTTTATAGTAAATTAGCATTTTATATGTAAATTAGGCTTTAAGGCATATCTTTACAATTAAAGTGGGCCTGGCATGGTGGCTCATGCCTGTAATCCCAGTATTTTGGAAGGCTGAAGCGAGAGGATTACTTGAGGACAAGAGTTTAAGATCAGCCTGGCCAACAAAGTGAGATCCCATCTCTACAAAAACTAAAAAAATTAGGTGGCTCATGCCTGTAGTCCCAGCTTTTAGGAGGCTGAGGTGGGAGGATTGCTTGAGCCTGGGAGGTTGAGGTTTCGGTGAGGTGTGATTGTGCCACTGCTCTCTACCCTGGGTGATAGAGGGAGACCTTGTCTCAAAAAAAAAAAAAAAAAAAATGAATAGTTAGGAGCCTAGGCACCCACTGATATCTCCAATGTGTGAATTCAAGGTGATAGTGAAATCTTTTTATTTTAAAAAAGGTTTCACAACTTCTGCCAGAGAGATTTGCAGAGCAGCTGATTCGAGTATACTGTAAGAAGACAGATGCGAAGAGTTTGTATGCTGCACAACAACATTTTGTTCAATGGTGTTCCGACAAAAATTTTACCAAGCCGCAGGTAGGTGGCCTGTTACTCACAAACTTTGTGCAATTTTTTATTTTTTAGTAATAACCAAAAATAACTATCTGATGAAAAGTTCTCATTTAAGTTATAGTTATTTGGTTATGATTTTGAAAATAAAGTCTTTCACTTTGTTTCCTTTTAAAATGTCTAAATCTGTGTCAACCAGTGATTTCTGCCTACATGAGTTGGAATGGATATTCTTTATCATTATTGTCCTAATAATAAAAGATAAAAATGTGAACATGTGAATAATGCTTTCTCATGCTCACCAGTGGCCTTGGAAGGTTAGTCATAGTGTCTCTACCTTTCAGAGGTTACCAAAGCTGAGTAGTTAACTTATTTAACATACAATTGATAATAGGCCGGGCGGGTGATATCCCAGCACTTTGGGAGGCTGAGGTGGGCAGATCACAAGGTCAAGAGATCGAGACCATCCTGGCCAACATGGTGAAACTAAAAATACTAAAATTACTAAAAAATACAGAACTTAGCTGGGCGTGGTGGTACACACCTGTAGTCCCAGCTACTCGAGAGGCTGAGGCAGGAGAATCGCTTGAACCTGGGAGGCAGAGGTTGCAGTGAGCCAAGATGGCACCACTGCACTCCAGCCTGGTAAAACAGTGAGACCCCCTCTCAAAATTAAAAAAAAAAAAATTAGTAATAGACTTTGTGTTTCTAAACTTTGTTACTTTAGTATATTAGTTAACTATTTAAATTATCTGGAATGAGAGTAGAGGGAAGAGGAGTCAAGCCACAGCTGCCAACCCTGTAGAGAATGTTCTTAAAACTGTCTCTTACTGACCTACACATAGTAGGTGTCTGCACAGAGAATGCGGCCAATTGGCATTTATTGACTAAATGAATGAATATAATTGTCAGGCAGGGAAACAGTGCTTTACTGCCTTGTCTAGAAATCTCCCTCACACTCCTGTGTGTTAGGTGCAAAAGGGAAAAAGTATAGGGTGAGATATGAAAGCATAGCTCAGAATGTCGGTGCTTTACCAAGTGCCACAAAGCGTGATCCAGATTAGATCTATGAGGATTCAGAGAGTTGAGAGAGCTATGGGAGAAGCCTGGTGAAGGGGCAGGATCTGCTAGATCTAGAAGGCGTGGCTATGTTTGGATGAGTAGCAGGGAGAAGGAGGAGTGTATTTGGCAGTGGGAGCAGCACAAAGGAATGACATTGGAATGAGTTGAGAGTGTTTAAGGGACCACGAGGAGACCTGTCTTTCCAGGGTAGGAAATTCTTACTGTTAAGTGCGGAGAGGTTAAATGGGAAGAGTGGACTAGATTATTAAACACCTTGGATAACTGGCTAAGAGATTTTTTCCTCTCTACAGTGGGGAGGGAATCATTGAGAGTATTCAAGAGTTGCCATCCACTGTATGATTTACCTGAGTGTTTGTCATCTCCAACTAGATTGAGACCCATGGGAATAAGGAAGTAGAATTGTCCCTTGGTGTCTGTGGGGAACTGGTTCCAGGACCCCCAAAGATGGAAAAATCCACAGATGCTCAAGTCCCTTATATAAAATGGTATAGTGTTTGCATATGACCTATGCATACTCTCCTTTACACTTTAAATATCTCTAGATTATTTATAATAGCACTACAATGTAGGTATTACACATCTCTAATGCTATGTAAATAGTTGTTATACTGTATTGTTTAGGGAATAATGACAAAAAAAACCTCCGTACATGCTTAGTGTAGACACAGCCATCCCCCGCTTCAATATTTTATATCTACACCGTTGCTTGAATCTACCCATGGATGCAGAGGGCCAACTGTATGTCTGTCCTAGGTTCTATGAAACTAAATCACTGAAAACCCTCGCTGCGGATAGACTGGAACTTGGAGAGGCTGGAAACAGAGAGTGAGGAGAGGCTATTAAAGTTGAGCTATGTGGTGATAGCTACTATAAGTTTGATGCATTCACTCACTGAGTGTGTTTCCAGGCCCTGTGTTAGCACCTAAGGTAGACAGTTTCTTATTCCCATGGATCCCATTCAGATTGGGGATAACAATCTAGTTTGGGATAATAATAATTATTATGAATTTTGCTCCATAAATTAATAAATTATAGGAGCATGGTAAGTACTTTGGGGGTGGGGTGGGTACAGTCTTAGAGGAGGAAAAACGAGGAGGATGTAGCTGGTGTTGGTTGGTCAGGAAAAGCTTATTTAAAGAAGGGCTTATAGGCATGAAGGTTGAGTGAGGAGTTGTCTGGGCGAAGGGCTGGCAGCAGGAGATGGTGGTAGGGGAGGGGCTGAGCATAGACACCCCAGGGTTAGGTCAGAAGATGAGAAAGAACATGGTGCATTTTAGGAAGGAGCATAGCGTGTGGAGGTGTCGGGCTTTTTGCAAAGTCCTGTCAGCCAAGAGAGTGGGGAGCATTAGCACTGAAGGGTTTTAAGCAGAAAAGTGACATATTTGTTTACATTTATAAAATTCACTGGAGTTGAAATTAGAATGGGTAGAAGTAAAACAATTGGCTATATGCCAGGCATGGTGGCTCACATCTATAATCCTAGCACTTTGGGAGGCTGAGGTGGGAGGATTGCTTGAGCCTAGGAGTCTGAGGCTGCAGTGAACTACAGTCACACCACTACACTCCAGCCGGGTTGACAGAACAGGATGCTGTCTGAAAAACAACAACAACAGAAAGGCTGGGTACGGTGGCTCATGCCTGTAATTCCAGCACTTTGGGAGGCTGAGGCAGGTGGATCACCTGAGGTTGGGAGTTTGAGACCATCATCAACATGGAGAAACCCCATCTCTACTAAAAATACAAAATTAGTCGGGCGTGGTGGCACATGCCTGTAATCCCAGCTACTTGGGAGGCTGAGGCAGGAGAATCACTTGAACCCTGGAGGCAGAGGTTGCTGTGAGCCGAGATCACGCCATTGCACTCCAGCCTGGACCATAAGACCGAAAATCTGTCTCAAAAAAAAAAAAAGAAAGAAAAAGCTGGGTAGAAATAGAGATGAGTTTAAAGATAAATACTGCTGATTTTGAGATAGGCCTTCAAGTACGAATATCATGACAATTGAATGACTTTTTTTTTCTTTTTTTTTTTAAAGCTCTGTTGCCCAGGCTGGAGTACAGTGGCACTGTCTTATCTCACTGCAACCTCCGCCTCCCGGGTTCAAGTGATTCTCTTGCCTCAGCTTCCCAAGTAGCTGGGATTACAGGCATGCGCCACCACACCCAGCTAATTTTTGTATTTTTAGTAGAGATGGGGTCTCATGACATTGCCCAGGCTGGTCTTCAATTCCCAACCTCGAGCAATTTGCCTGCCTTGGCCTCCCAAAGTGCTGGGATTACAGGAGTGAGCCACCACACTCAGCCTGAATGATTACCTTTACTGAGGTCAAGAGTTCGAGACCAGCCTGCCCGACATGGTGAAACCCCATCTCTACTAAAAACACAAAAATTAGCCATGGTGGTGCACCCTATAATCCCAGCTACTTGGGAGACTTCGGTGGGAGAATCGTTTGAACCCTGAAGGTGGAGGTTGCAGTGAGCCAAAATCATGCCACTGCACTACAGCCTAGGTAACAGAGCAAGATTAAAATTAAATAAATAAAAAATTTTAAAAACTGCTTTTAATGGTTCTGTCAAGTCAAATACAGTGTAATTCAACAGAAGAAATTTAACATGGGGGATGAGATACAAAAGTTTTGGCAGAGCTAACTGAGCACAGAGGACAGTGATTCAATAGCAGGAAGCTGCTACCACCTCTAGGATAGGACAGACCAAGGGAGCAGGTGGGAGTCCAGGAGCTGGGGCCATCTACAGAAGCTGGAACCACAGAAGAGTCACTGCCACTGCCACTCGTGCCAGAGGAGGTAGGGAGAGAAAGAACCTGACTTCTCTGCCCTCCTCTCATCTCCAGCCTCCCACCAGCGCCTCCCATTGACCAGATCTAACTGGAAATCAACAGGCATGGGAACTGAAAAATGTAATTTACCGGAGTAGCTCCTATGAAACAGAGTAGGGAGAGGAGGAGTGAAGAATGGGTCTGAGAGCAAATAGGCAGATGAAAAGCACGAATCCTCCTACCAGCATTGTATTCCTGGTACAACATAGGCTCCCTAAGATCCTGTGTTATCTTGTAACCAAAGAGGATCTACCCACAAGCTCAGAACAGTTTAGCATAGAGTCGGGTGTTAGGAGGCCTTGCTTCTTACTGCTCTGGTTTCAGGTCATTGTATCACCTCGATTTGGGTCTTTTCCTCATTTTGGGTGGAGGAGCTCCTTTGTCTGGAGCCTGTGCTGATGGGGCCAACGTTAGAGCTTTGATGCAGAGAAAAATTTAAAATCTGCAGGTACATACTGTCCTTCCTCCCTTTCCTTGCCATCTTGTAGACCTGGGCCATTTATTGCAGAGGGGACCAGGCGTGAGAGAAGCCAGGGGTTCATTGCAGCCCATCTTTCTCCTGGGAAAACAGGACAGGGCTTGTGCTCCATGAAGGTGTGTGAAGGAGGCCGTAGAGGTGGGCAGGGGTGTGCTCCTCCAGTCATCCCTGCAAAGGCCAGTGGCTGTTTTCATGAAGGCTCCTCTTGAGTACGGCTGTGGTGTTTCTAATTTGTCCCAAGCACAGGGCATATGTAATTTGGAGTTTCCCTAGAATGAGTATACCTAGAAGCAATCTGTATGCAAGACAAGGATGCGTGCACCTGAGACTCCCTCAGAAATACGATGATACAGACTGGCTCTTCTCTGTTCCATTTTTCTCTCTCTTCCTAATAGGATGGCGATGTTGTAGCCCCACTCATAACACCTCAGAAAGATGAATGGAACTACAGGGCCTCAGCCCAAACTCCAGCTCACCTCCGAGAAGCACCCAAAAGCAGGCTCCAGCTTTTTAAGGATGACCCGGTATAATATCTGCAGGCGGTTGTTTACAAATGCCCTCCCCCACACAATTAACTTAGGGGCTTCAGTCATAGAATTCTGCAAATTTGATGACAACACATGCTTTAATTTTGTATTTTGAATGTACACACATGCTGAAGAGAAGTAATTTTTAATCAAAGAAATAAGATGGTATTAGGCAAATCTTATTATATATGAAAAGCATTACCTTGCCTATTTTTAATATTAATTAAAGTTTTTCTCCTTTGGTAGTCTATTTTCTTAGAATAACAACTCTTTTATCTACTCTGAACTCTTTTTTTTTTTTTTTCTTTTTTTTAAAGTGACAAGGTTTTGCTTTGTTGCCCAGGCTGGACTCGAACTTTCCTGGGCTCAAATGACTCTCCTGCCTCAGCCTCCCAAGTAGCTGGGACTACAGGCACGTGCTGCCACACCCAGCTTACTCTGAACTTTTATGATAGATGATTTTTTTTGTTTTTAATGTAGAAATGAGACAGGGGTACAAATTGGAATTAGAAGTTGACATTGTCATAGACAAACATGGCTAAAAACAAAACAGCAAATCCTGCCCTTCTGAAGAGTTCCCTGTCACCTCAAGTTTGAGGATAGTCCTCTTCAAGTCACCCTTCTAGCCCCCTACAAGCTGCCAGGTTGGGGTAAATGGTAGGAGACAATGGCCAAGAGTGGTCTCTGACATGCTAGAGAGGCCTGATTAGGTTTTGGGGAAGATCTGAGAGCTCTGGCCTCCTCGTGAGTGAAGCATGAAGGCGCCTCTTGTTGAGAGATCCCTATCCCCAGTGACAGAGGGATTCACCAAACCAGGCTGTGCCCAGGCTCAGTGGAGGCTCCAGACCTGAGCAGTGTCTTTGTCTCCTGAATACTCACTCCTCCGATCCAGAGGGCCTTCCCACTGCCTAGCCTGGAGAAGGCCTCCGCTGACCTGCTCTCTGAGTATCCTGGAGAGCTGGCCAGAGGCCATCACAAGCACCGTCCTCAGAGCTCCTCAGACCTGGGACTTTGTTTTTACTGGTTCTGGTTCAGTGCATTTTGTATGTTTAAGAGCAAACACTGCACTGCCTGTGCTGAAATTAGTGACCACCCAGTGGGTTCCAGGTTCCCCTAGGTAACTTGATTTTCCCAGCAGTGGAGTGGGTACCACCTTGGTAGGGTAGTGCCTCTGTACCCAGGGCACACCTCATTCCCAGTTCTATAATAGTTCACCAAGAACAAAGTCTGCAGTTAGAGCCAAAGCTGGTGGTGGCCAGAGGGTGCTGAAGATGCAAGCCAGTGGGGATGGCAGCCATGAGCCCCGAATGTCTTCTGCTCTGATGCCCCCTGGACTAGGCCTCCCTGGCAGACTGGGAGTGAGGGGCCCCCCAAGCAAGTAGGGGAACTCAGACCACAGGCCAGCAGATTTCCCAGGAGTATGTCACTGGCCACTGTGTAGCCAGATTCTGTTCCGTCCACATTGGGGTGAAGAGTACTTGGAATGTCTGCCATCCTGTATGATCATTTCACCCCCCGTCCATCCATCAGTAAATAATAAGGGTTGGTTATAATTCGTAAGAGAATAATTAAAACCCTTCTCCTCTCACGCCTACCGTGGTGCTGTATCGGGGAGGATTTGTTCACGTGGGCTCAGCAACGCACAGGTGAGGTCAGGCATGGCAGTAGGTCATACCTGTTTTAGCCAGGGTGCCTCTATAGGGGTCAGACATGTGTTCAGGCCTAAGGTTAAGAATGTCATTTTTTCTGTTAAAATCATTTTATTTCTGTGTATCTTACCTATAAATCATTGTGGTTTACTATGGGATTTTGTAATCCTATTATTGTATCATTGTGCTATCTGCAAAACAACTTGAATCTATTTTGTATGCATCTTTTGTTACATGTAAGGCAGCTGCACTTTATGTTCTGTGCAACTGTTTCATTATAAGAACTCTACGCTATTTACAAGGTTACTATTTTTCTTAAGAAACATCTTGGCCGGTGCACGCCTGTAATCCCAGCACTTTGGGAGGCCAAGGCGGGTGGATCACGAGGTCAAGAGATCGAGACCATCCTGGCCAACACGGTGAAACCCCATCTGTACTAAAAAAATACAAAAAATTAGCTGGGCATGGTAGCACATGCCTGTAATCCCAGCTACTCAGGAGGCTGAGGCAGGAGAATTGCCTGAACCCAGGAGGCGGAGGTTGCGGTGAGCCGAGATCGCGCCATTGCACTCCAGCCTGGGTAACAAGAGCAAAACTCCGACTCAAAAAAAAAAAAAAAGAAAAAGAAACATCTTGGCCAGGGGAGGTAGCTCATGCCTGTAATCCCAGCACTTTGGGAGGCAGAGGCAAGCAGATCACCTGATATCAGGAGTTTGAGACCAGCCTGGCTAACATGGTGAAACCCCATCTCTACTAAAAATACAAAAATTAACCGGGCTTGGTGGTGGGCGCCTGTAATCCCAGCTACTTGGGAAGCTGAGGCAGAGGAATTGCTTGAACCTGGGAGGCGGAGATTGCAGTGAGCTGAGATTGGGCCTCTGCACTCCAGCCTGGGGACAAGAGCAAAACTCTGTCTCCAAAAAAAAAAAAAAGAAACATCTTCACTATTTGTATAAAAATGGAAATTTTAACAGCTTAGCCTCTAGAGAGTTACTGAACGTGGTTACCGTGGGAATGTAAACAGAACTGAAGTTAAAATCACTGGCTCCTTCAATTGGTAAGGGAAACAGCTGCAATAAAGCTTCATGAATGTATCTCCATCTTGAAAGGTGTGTTCCTTGGCCGCTTTTTCTCATACTACGGTGTGTCCAGTTTGACCCTTCTGTGCAGAGGAAATGTGTTTTGTATGGGAATCTGTCCAGACATGTCTTAGTACCTCAGCACTGTTGGGTCTGTGAGAGGGGATGGTATTTAACAGGTTCTGTGGTGTTTGGTTTTCCTCATTCAGTAGCTGGTGACTAGCGAAAAATCTTTCATTTGCCAGGAGGCAGGCACTAGCATGGGAAGGGAAGGGAATTTTTCTGAGTTTTCCAAGACCCTGTTGTGCATGAAAACATACACTTTCCTCTCTTTTAACCTTCCTGAGGTTCCTGTCTACAAAGGTTTTGCCCTTTTTGTCCAAATGTGCATCTTATTCATTTGCTGCTTTCATACTTTCATCATGAAATTAAATCACAGAGTCACAGGCACCCGGTACTGGTGGCAGGCAGAAGGGCCTCAACGTTCCAGAGCAAGCCAGAGGAAGAACGACGCTGCTCGAGTCTTTATTAGTTCCGGTGCTCAAACCCAGGTTTCTAAGGTTTGACAATATTCTGTAAGTTAAAATCACTTCCACACATACAGAGTAGAATCCCACTTTTGTAAATATACACACTCATGTACATATTCATAGAACACTGTCTGGAAGGATATATATGAAAATGTTAAGAGTTTCTGGAGGGTTTAATTATAGGCAGTTTTAATTTTTTAAAATGTCTTCTGGCTTTTCTACTATAAACATGAATTAGTTGTAGAACTTCTAAAATGATAATGTTCATGAGGAACTCTGTGCTGCTTGGGTAGGGTGTAAGCATCTTTTAATCCTTCAGAGTCACCTCTGCAAAAGAGCAGTGCCTGCTCCCACCTGTATCTTGGGTCCCCAGGCCACAAGGAGTCTGGCCAGCAGCCACGGCCTACTCCAGGGCCCTTCACCATCTGTGTTTCAGACAGCACGGGTGTCAGAGAGGCCTAGGTGGCATTCATGAGCAGGGCTGAGTACCTGTTGCCACAGGGCCGTCAGTTGAGAAGCCAGGCCTCCAGCTCCTGGATGTGGAACTGCTCCTGCCGGGCCAGCACCTCATTGTTGAAGGTCGCGCAAGGGTAGCTTCTGCCGTGAAACAAGTCTCCATCCAACCACAGCCCAAACTGGCCACTGGAGGGAAGAGGACAGTCTAGGTGCGGCTCACTCCTGCGTGCTGAAGCCCTCAGGCTCTGCCACCAGCATCAGCTCTTGGCCACACCAGGTTAGCAGCCCAGGTTCACTTGTCTTATTGCCCCTTAAGCCAACTTATACTGAATTATTGGGGACTCAGCACATTGTTCCCCATGAGGTTAAAAGCATTTTTTATTTTATTTATTTATTTATTTATTTATTTATTCATTTATTGAGGCGGAGTTTTGCTTTGTTGCCCAGGCTGGAGTGCAGTGGTACCATCTTGACTCACCACAACCTCTGCCTCCCAGGTTCAAGCAATTCTCCCACCTCAGCCTCCCAAGTAGCTGGAATTACAGGCCGCTCACCACTATGCCTGACTAATTTTTGTATGTTTAGTAGAGGTGGGGTTTTGCTATGTTGGCCAGGCTGGTTTCAAACCCCCAACCTCAAGTGATCTGCCTGTCTCAGCCTCCCAAAGTGCTAAGATTACAGGTGTGAGCCAATGCACCTGGCCAAGAGCATTTTTAAAACAGTTCATTAATTTGATAAGTATATACAATGGCACAACCATAACCACAGCCCAGTTTTAGAACATTTGGAGCATTTTTAAGATGGCAGTTCTTTGACCAAAGCTAGTACATCTCAGGGTGCAAACTCTGAGAGCCCAAATGCTTTAGAGCATCCATTTTAATCCCCTCATTTGACAAAACCTCAGCTGGAGCCAGGAATTGGATTCCTGCAGATCAGCAATGGCTGATGAGTTCTGTGCCAAGCTGCCCCTCAATGGAAGCTTTTCAGGAAGTTGGGGGAGCAAAGAATTTGCCTGGTACTAATCAAGCAATGCTTTCATCTCTGCCCTCGGGATAAGGTACATGCCCCCCGAATGTGAAGGTCACACCAGGATGAGATCAACTCTTTTCTTCCAATCTCTCTCCACACCCTGTCCTCACCAAGGGAGGCTCCTGCAATGAGTTATGTCCCCTGCGATTCCTGGGCTGATGGAAAAACAAGGCACACCCATCTCTTGATGCTAGCTTCATCCAACTATGTAGAATTCTATTCCCAAAGTTGCTTATGTTCAGACTAAACTGTCACCAGCTGTAACACTTCAGTGGGGGCGCTCATGCATCCTTTCTCCTAATACTGGCTTATGTGACAGGGTTGGCTAGGGGGCTGAGCAGTGAAGGGAACGGCCGAAGAGTTCCCCACCAGCCTTCCCATTGCATCCAGGGCAGCCTAGCCCAGCAGTTCAGCAGAGGGAAAGGGCCCGTAATACAGACACCCCAAGACTCGAGAGGACTGAGACACTCACCTGCCACTGCCCATCATCAGTGAATCCAAGTCTCCCTTCACAAAGAAAGAGTTGCTTCCAGTCCACTTAAAGACCTGGGTGACAGGGAGAAAGGCTCAGGTTGCTGGCCGAGTCCCACTCTTGCAGTTTGACCCCAAACCACTGGGTGGCAGTGTTGTGGCGGGAACAGCATCCAGGCCCCAACCACGCCGTAGGTGGGACTCCGGGCTCAAAGCTCTTAGGATTTCTCTTCTCAGTCTCCCGGGAGTCACCACCACATGCCCTCTAGTGTGAATTCCTACAGCCTAGAAACCATTTCGTTCTAGAATAGGACAACAACCCCTGAGGCTTCTTGCTTCCAAAGCTGGAGGGCTCTGGGGAGTAGTCCAGGCCAAGAGTTGGGACTAATACTGCCATTAATTAACTGACTCACCGTGGCCTCTCACCCAGGTCACACCAGCCTGCCTGGCCTTAGTGCTGCCTCACATCCAGCTCATTAACAAGCCCTGCGGCTCTAGACATATGCCTGTCTGCCCCCATCTCTATCCCATCCTCTGCCTGGATCATAGCCTCCCAGCTGGTCTCTCTGCCTCCAGTGTCTGTGCCTACAGCCATACCCACACTGCAATCTGTGTGATCTGTTCGACATCCAAATTAGATGTTGCCACTCCTCTGCCTAAACCCTCCAATGACTTCCTATTGCAATAGGGATAAAATTCAACTCCTTAACAATGGCCAGAAGTGCAGCCCGGGGCCTGGCGCAGTGGCTCATGCCTATAATCCTAGCACTTTGGGAGGCCGACGCCAGAGAATCACTTGAGGCCAGGATTTGAGACCAGCTTGGCCAACACAGAATTCATCTCTACAAAAGCACTTTTTTAACTAGCCAGGTGTGATGGTGTACACCTGTAATTCCAGCTACTCAGTAGGCTGAGGTAGGAGGATCACTTGAGGCCAGGAGTCTCCTTGAAGCCAGGAGTTTCCTCGAGGTCAGGAGTTCTAGACCAACCAGGGCAACATAGTAAGACTCCTCCCCTATCTCTAAAAAAAATGTTTTTAACCTAGCTGGTCATGGTGGTGTGCACCTATAGTCACAGCTTCTAGGGAGGCTATGGTGGGAGGATCACTTGAGCCCAGCCAGGAGTGTAGGCTTCGGTGAGCTGTGATTGCACCACCATACTCTAGTCTGGGCGACAGAGTGAGATCCCAACTCCAAAAAGCAACAAAAAACTTCAAAACTTAAAAGTGTCAAAACTTAAAAGCGGATTTTCTCTCTGACCCCTTCTCCCTCTTATTGACTACATGTTAGCTACACCAGCCTTTCCATTTCTGGAATACTCAAAGCCCATTCCTGCCCTAGGATCCCTCTGTCCAGAATGCTCTTCCCCCAGATCCTCAGAAGGCCCACCTCTTATCCTTCAACCCAAATGTCATCTCAGAGAAATTTCCTGGACCACCCTATCCGAAGTAGTCTTTCCTCCCAGACCCTGTTTTAGCTCTATTTATTTATTTTAAAGATGTACGTTCCATGTGGCCTGTCTTATTTCTGGCTATGTTCCTGGCATGTATATATTTGTGGGATGCATAAATTATTGAAGAGTCAAATTAGTTTTAAATGGCTGCAAAAGGATAGGATGTTACTGCCTTAATCAGTGGCCCAAAATGCTGTGAGCAACCAAAGGGTTTTAGCAAGAAAACAGACTAATAAGAGATACATCCTATGCTCAGGAGGGATGAGATCATATTAACAAGTGACCACAAGAAGAGAGAATCATTCAAGTCCTCCTCTACTTTCTTCAAGGATATGACCTTTGACCTGAAGGAGTAAGGTAAATATTGCTGTGGAAGAAATTAAGACCAAGTTCATGGTGCCGCTTGGAATAGTGATCAAGGGACTACCAGGAATTCATGGGGAATACAAGTGCCAGAAGACCAAAGATAGGTAAGAATTAACCAATTTTTTAGAAGATGACATTCCATAACAATAGGCTGGAGAGACAGATTCCCCTGAAAAAGCTATTCATTTCATTCAACAATTTTTTTAAGCATTTTTGCACCAGGCACGGTTTTTAGGCCCTGGGTAGAATGGTGAACACAACAGACAAAAACCTCTGCTTCAAAGGACTCACTTTCTAGTGGGAGAAGGCAAGTAACAAAGCAAAAGTTCTCTGGCCGGGCGCGATGGCTCATGCCTCAGCACTTTGGGAGGCTGAGGTGGGTGGGTCACCTGAGGTCAGGAGTTTGAGATCAGCCTCACCAACATGATGAAACCCCATCTCTACTAAAAATACAAAAATTAGCTGGGCGTAATGGCAGGCACCTGTAATCCCAGCTACTCAGGAGGCTGAGGCAGGAGAATAGCTTGAACCTGGGAGGCGGAGGTTGCAGTGAGCTGAGATCACGCCACTGCACTCCAGCCTGGGCAACAAAAGCAAAACTCTGTCTCAAAAAAAAAAAAAAGTTATCTGTTAGATGATGGCAAATGCTAGGGGGAGAAGGGCACTAAGGGCTTCCTAGGGGTAGGTGTTGTCATTCTATTTATTTTTAATTTATTTATTATTTGCTTTTTTTAGAGACAGGGTCTTGTTCTGTCGTCCAGGTTGGAATGCAGTGGCATGATCAATGACAGCTCATTACAGCCTAGAATTCCTGGGCTCAAGCGATCTTCCTACCTCAGCCTCAGGAGTAGCTGGGACTGCAGGTGTGTGCCACCATACCCAGCTATTTTTTGTTTTTTGTAAAGATGAGATGTTACTATGTTGTGAGGACAGATCCTGAACTCCTGGCCTCAAGTCATCCTCCCACCATGGGCTCCCAGATTGCTGGGATTATAGGGATGAGCCACCACGATTGGCTGGGTGTTACTATTTTACATCAGATAGCCATGGAAACCTTCACTGAGGTGGTGACATCAGAACAGAGAAGGAGGTGAGAATGGAACCATGCAGAGATCCAGTGGAGGGACATTCTAGGCAGAATAGCACCTGCAAAGGCCCTGAGGCAGGAGCAGGCTGGCATGAGAACCAGCTCAGAGGCCAGTGTGGTTGGAGCAGAATGGGAGAAAGGAAAAGTAGCAAGACATGACATCAGATAGAGGCCAGAAGGTGTAGGGACTTGTAAATCATTATACACAGTTGTGCTTTTCTCCAAGTGAAAGAGGAAGCCAAGGAGTGACATGCTGTGAGTTCTAGCTTCCCTCTTCCTTCCTTCCTTCCTTTTTTCTTTCTTTCTCTTTCTTTTTCTTTCTTCATTCGTTGATTTGTTCGTTCGTTCGTTTTTTGTTCAAGAGGGAATCTCACACTGTTGCCTAGGGGAGTGCAGTGGTGCTATCTTGGCTCACTGCAACCTCCTCCTCCCAGATTCCAGCGAATCTCATGCCTCAGCCTCCCGAGTAGCTGGGATTACAGGCACATACTTCCATGCCCAGCTAATTTTTGTATTTTTTGTAGAGATGGGGTTTTACCATGTTGGCCAGACAGGTCTCACACTCCTGACTAGAAGCTGTCAGTGCAATGGAAAGAAAATTTTAGACCGTTAGAATTATTCTAGGATTTGCCGGGCGCGGTGGCTCAAGCCTGTAATCCCAGCACTTTGGGAGGCCGAGGCGGGTGGATCACAAGGTCAAGAGATCAAGATCATCCTGGTCAACATGGTGAAACCCCGTCTCTACTAAAAATACAAAAAATTAGCTGGGCATGGTGGCGCGTGCCTGTAATCCCAGCTACTCAGGAGGCTGAGGCAGAAGAATTGCCTGAATCCAGGAGGCGGAGGTTGCGGTGAGCCGAGATCGTGCCATTGCACTCCAGCCTGGGTAGCATGAGTTAAACTCCGTCTAAAAAAAAAAAAAAAAAAAAAAAAAAAGAATTATTCTAGGATTTAAGCTCAGGAAGGCAAGTGGTGATAAGTAGTACCAGCACTGGCTCACCATGCATCGCTGACCCTTTCTTGGATCCTGGTAAAATTGATGGAGCCCCTCTGGCTGATGGCAGAAATGCATTAGATACGATATATTTTGCCGTTAGGAAGGTAGTCCATAGCACCTTGTGAAATCCCTCTCATGAGACCAGGTGATTGTGTGATTGGACGTGTCTGAATGAATCTTTTTTTTTTTTTTTTTTTTAAAA